CATGTAGTCATGTATCGTTCATTTGAGTTATCTAATATTGTTATGATATATATTTTAAAATAGAAATACCAATATAATATTTTGAAAATTGAAGCAAATATATAAATACATTTTGATCAAAATATTCATACCTATTGAAATATAAATCACAGAAATTATTTTCTTAACGTGCAAAAGTGAATACAAAAATGTATAAAGTACTACATAGTTTTAAAACTTTTACTCTTTTTCTGTTCTTGTTAAAGAATTCTCTTTCGATTATAATGTTTTGTATCGTATATTATGATATGTACATTAAATAAATATTTATGCGTATAAATTGTCAATATGTGAGTTCGCAAGAAATAAATAGTTTCATACTAGATTAATATCCTGTGACAATTCACAGTCGATGCACACAAGACACATGACATATGTCATATCTATTCCTAGAATTATTAGACCGAATGAATATCATCTCTGCTTTAAATATAGTCAATAAATAAAATATTTGTAAAGGTCCCACTATACAAATATCTATATATCCCTTAAAACCACCATTGCTTTTAAAGAACGAGACGTTTGATATTAATGGATATTTTTTTTATTTTTTTTTCGCAGGATGTTGATAGCCATGGTGACAATATTCGGCGTGTCTTGGCTTCCGCTGACCGCCATTAACCTGCTGAACGATTTCTATCTTCAGACTGCCACATGGAAACACTACTACCTGTTTTTCTTCTCTGCTCATGCCGTGGCCATGAGCTCCACGTGCTATAACCCGTTCCTATATGCGTGGCTTAACGAAAACTTCCGGAAAGAGTTCAAACAGGTGTTGCCTTGTTGGCGCAACGGTTCCGGATACGGTGCAACTGGAGCTGACTTGGGTCAGGGACGCCGGGGCCGCGTYGGCGGTTAYCGGTCAGAGCGGACGTGCAACGGCAACGATACGTGCCAGGAAACACTGTTGCCAACGTCCATTGTGCTGCCTTCTGGCCGAACTACCGCCACTACAGAYTGCACCGGAGTCGATCTCGTAGTAAGTCCTATATCTTTTTTTCGGAACTTTTAATCAATACTCTTGTATAYCACAATAATCTGTTTTGTTTACGTTATAATGTTGCTACGTACCCTGCATCACTGCTTACGAATAGCCTTTGTATTTAAAGTAGAGACTAGTTGTGATAAGTTAAATACAAGAGCAGCCAAAATTTAATGGTTATTAAAATAGTCAAAATATTTCTATCAATTTTTCTATCAATTTTTGCTAAAAAAAACTGTTATTGCGTGAAGTTGCGCACTCTATTTCTGAAATTGCACGCCTGACTTCGTTCACAGCTRATATTCTATTTATACCCCGGGTTTCCCATATGKAAATCGTCTGGTGGTAATCATATATCTCAATATGGGATATTTATATGCTACATATAGAATCTCGATACTACGATGGATGTTAAATCTTATGTATGGTTTACACATTCCTCTCTCATTATAGGATTAGGTAGGTATAGAATTATAGAGCTTTTAGCAATAGTATCTGAATCAATTATTTTATTTCTTCACTGCCTACTATTATTATTTTTTTTTTTTAACACAATTTATTAAGAAATAAAACATAAAAGTCACTSTACTAGTCAGTGTAAGGGAATTTTCTTCTAGATACAATAATATAAGATTCCAATTGACAGCAGTCACATTTTAAAATAATATATTCACCTTAAAGTGTCGTATGATCATTATATATTATAATATAGGTACATGTGTATTAAATCGGCCTTATAGTTAAATAGAATAGTTATAAATTTATAATACATGTAAAGATTATAACGAGACCTGTAAATTTAATGAC